ATCTGTTTTGTCCTAGTTTGGGAATCATCGACAGTACGCACCCGATGGAGTTTGATGTAGTAATGCCATCAGAGACGTCACTTCTAAGGTCTTCAGGTTAAAGACTAAACTCCTGTCAGTCTGTAATGGCTATACTAATATATTGACAGAATTCAAATAAGACCGCCGCTGGGTACTGCTATCTAGACGAATTTAAATTTGGAAGAAATCCTCAAACTAATCAATCAAATCCTTACAAACAAATACTTGAATTGAAATTCAGTTTGAATAGATCAGGAGGGGGGACAACGGCACATGTCAAGTGATCCACAATGGAAAACTCAGCGAGGCGTTTGGAGTAAACACAGGAGTCAGACAAGGGCGCTTATTATCACCAATGATATTCCTAATTGTGGTGGTGGACTGGATTATGCGTCAGATAGCGGGAAACGAGAAGACAGGGATATCCTGGACCGACGTGAAGAACCTAGAAGACCTGGAATTCGCAGATGATTTATGTTTGATTTCACAAAAGATCGAAGACTTACAAGCGAAAACCGACAAACTGGCCGAAGAAGCAGCCGGTGAAGACAGGACTCCAGGTGAACATAGACAAGACGGAGGTCATGAAAATAACCAACCAACAACAACAACAGCAGCAACATCCAACGCCAATCACCATCAAAGGGAGGGATTTGAAAGAGGTTACTTCATTCACTTATCTAGGGAGCATTGTCTCAACCACAGGAGGAACTGACGAGGATGTCAAATCGAGAATCAGGAAGGCGGGAAACACATTCATCAACCTGAAACCAATCTGGAAATCTTCGTCACTCAGCCTGCATCAACAACTAAATTCGGATTTTCAATACAAACGTCAAGTCAGTCAGTTCTTCTTTACGGATCAGAAACTTACACTGCGCGTCTGTCACAAAAAGGATTTTCAACAGGTTGCAGACATTTATCAACAACTGTCTTCGTTCTATATTCAAGATCAGATGGCCGGAAGGAATCACCAACAAGAAACTATGGGAACAAACAAAACAAGAACCAATCGCTCAACAAATATGCAGGAGAAAGTGGAGATGGATTGGACACTCACTGAGGAGGCCACTGGGTGACATCGCGCGTCAGGCCAACGCTCGAGTGGAACCCGAAAGGGAAGCGGCGAGTGGGACCTCAGTGCAAGGGTGACATGGAGGAGATCGTGTGAAGATGAGTTGAAACAGTACGGACTAACAGGAATGCAAGTGAAAAGTACAGCAGAAGACAGAAGCAAGTGGAGACGTGCAGTTGAAGCCCTATGTTCCACTAGGAACCCGAGGGAACAATGATAAAAAATATTGAATGGCTCAAGTGTTCCAATCTCCGAGGTGACAGTAATCACGAAACCTAGATTCAGCGTATTCCTGCCAATCCCCATTCGTTCAACTAACATCAAAACAACTCTAATCTTTTAGTGATACCTTCATAGGTGTATTCTATGTGCGCCTCTCTCTCTCGCGCCAAAATCATTAAATTCTTTCTGATATATTTTCAATCTCTTTGATTGATTTTCCAAAGTAGGGTCACTAACCCCGCACCCAAGCCTCCATCTTTACCTGGGCTTGGAACCGGCCAGAAAACTGGTGAGCTAGTTATCTTGGTGAGGTTGACTTTAGTCTCTTCTATATATTCAGCTCATAATTTAACACATATCTACTAACAAAAAAGTACATATTTCCAATATTTGAAATTATTTGAACAAAATACGCTGTGAAATTTATTAATGTAGCATATTGGTGGACAGTAGAAGTTAATAATGACATGAAAACCTGGTGTACACTAACCTAAATTAGTTATACATGGAATTATATTGAAAGTATATACATAAAATCAATAATATTTGCACTATTACACAACTGCTTTTTATCAGATAGACAGATATATAGATAGGTAGGTAGATATATTACTGTTACTACTAATACTATAATGTTGTAACATTTCATGTGAAATTGTAACCTTTCGATACATACTAATATTATCATATAGTGATAAACTTTGATATGGAGTTCGTTAGTTATGATATCATTATTATCAGTATTATTGTTTTTTATGTTTTATCATGTTAAAGGAACCAAAATCAATCAATTAATCAATGACTATTTGCGTCGGTGGCACAGGGACAGGGTGCTAGCCGCCCACGCAGGTGGTCCGGGTTTCGATCCCCGGCTACCGACGCACTCCTTTACCTCCCTAAGCCAGTAATAAGACTGGTAGAGGTTGGGCATGTGGTTAGAAACCCCATCCCGTAAAAAGTAATCACCACTGCTACCACAACTTCAAGCCTCTAGCTTGAAGCCATCCTGTGTTCCACTGGGTATGCAAAGCAATAAAAAAATCGACGACAATAGATTTATTTATTTATTTAAACACAGAAAAAAATTGGTACAATATAGCACCAAGAAAGATGCGCCGCACAATAATAATAAAACAGTATAGATTAAAAGTAAAAATATAAGTAGAAAACGGATAAAGAACTTCATCTGGAAGGAAAACAGTCATGTTTAACAAGTTCAAACAGTATTCATTAACTATCATCAGGAAGGGAAGAAAGAAGGAAATTGCAACACGTTCGCCATTGATTACGATTCTTGGCCATATCCGATAACTTTTCGAGCCATCGAATCGAGCTATCTCACGAACCCCAACCAGGGAGTCGTGACGCACCAACCGATGCTAATCTAGCATAAATATCCTTCATCCCACGACGCCACGTCATGGGCTGACCACCTCTCCACCTTTTCCATCCCGTTCCAGAGTTAGCGAACAGAGACCAATACGGAAGCCTCTGGGATGACATTCGCAGCACATGTTCAAGCCATCGGAGCCGGTGTTTCCAGATGACGACACTCAATGAATGGTGATCTCCACTGTGTTCAAACATACGCCACCAAACCTCAGAATTACTCACGCGATGATGCCATCGAACGCAAACAATCCTGCGGAGACAGCGATGATCGAACACGCAGAGCCGCCTCACATTCTCATCTCGGAAAGGCCAGGTTTCACAGGCGCAGAGCAAGATAGCCCGCACCGAAGCACCGCATACCCAACCTTTGACAGCCAGGCTTACGTCGCGACGGCGCCAGAGGTGGCACAAGTTGATGTATGCCACCCTAGTCTTCATTATACGGTTGAAAATCTCATCCGTCACCCCTCCGCCAGCACTCACACAACTACCCAGATACACAAACTTATCAACAACTTCAAGCGGTTCACCCGCAAGAGTGAGTGCAGGTACCATAGACTGATATTGGTGAGAGAACTGTTGAAAACCAACTAGGTATACTAAAAAGCTGCTTCGTCAGCCTAATTTGGAAATTATCGGAGTTGTAGTGAACTCATGAATGAGTGGAATTGTAATTCATAAACTAGCCCATGTGGCTGAATAGTCTGCGAGCTTGTCTTGTGACCGAAAGATCCTGGGTTCGATCCATAGGGCGGGGAAAGGTTTTCTGAAGAGTTCCAAACTAGGACGAGGGAAACAGCTGTTCAATACTCCACACTGGTTTTCCAATGGTTCCCTAAATGATATCGATTCGTGATCAAGCCTGAAACAGATCAGAAATATAATCAATATCTCTATTATTATCATTACTATTGAGATCTTGTAAGGAATTCCGACGAATGTAGATGGATGGGCGTCGTTAGTTCAGCTGTAGAACACTCCCCAAGCATATCTGACGTGGTCGGGCTTCTGATCCTAGGCCAACGCACTCTTAAACCCCGCTAAGCCGGTAGTAAGGATGGTAAAGAAGAAGGATGGCTAGCCGGGAGGCTAGCAACTCACCCCCCCCAAAGAAATAAAACGACGGCTGCCGAAACTTCCGAGCTCTCGCTTGAAGACTTATGTTCCACTAAGAACGTAAACGAATAAAAACGAAGATCAAAGTAGGTGGGATCATGCACTGACATCACCTGCGAGGGGGAAGAATCCTTGAAAACTAAGCAGTACTGAACCACTGTTCCATCACAGTTTTTCAGGATTCTTCAGCGCTATGTGCCTGTGATCCAGCTAGGGATCTAAGCCAGAATCGTTAGGTTACAAGACTAGTTTGTTGTCCATTCAGCTAAAAAGACTTGAAATCCAGTGACATGTTTAATTCTAAATTCTGTCAGTTCACGACTACCACTAGCTCTCTTCCAACCTGATCCATCATATGTCAGCTAACATTGCCCGTCGAAGAAGGCGATGTCCAGTGTTGCATGCGTAACACATGTCCTAACCATCTGATTAGAGGTGTTAGTCACAAAAATATCAAATGACATAATTTATTTTGAGTAAGTAACTGACGAAGTGTTCCAGTATCTTAGGTTGATTTCGTCTAACGACTAACATCAACCATAAGAGTTTTTTCATCCCATGGATACATCCCAGAGACCGCTGACTTAAAAGAATGAACACTCTACTAACTATTCAGTTAATGTGTAAGTCATTTACATTCAGAACTCCTCCCCATGGTAAAGCTTTATTGGTTAGAGGATTTCATTATGAGCTGACATTGGTTAGAGAATCATTGGGAGACCAACAGGGAGTACTGGACAGCTGTTTCGTCCCACTAGTTTGGGACTCTTCACTAGTACGTGCCCACCACAGGGGGTTCAAACAGGGAGGACCTTCTGGTTACAAGGCGAGTGAGCTCGAAGATTACTAAGCCAGTGGGACCTGATCCAATGGCCAGCCCATGAATTCGAACTTCTGCCATTTCACTACATAGGGCCACGACTAGCCAGTGTATTCGGCAAGTATTTGTCTTCACACCTAAACCTGCTGCACCCTACTGGTCACGACTTCCCACTAGAGCCCCAGGTGACTTGTAACCTGTAACCAGTCAATGAAATCCCTACAAACCAATACTTGAGACTAAAGCTTTATGTTTGCAGTTGTCATTTCGTCGACAGGTAACCGTCACTATTGACTGTTTTATTCTTCGATATTTTTTTATCCCACTTCAATTTTCTCTTTCTGTCTCTTTTAGACGATAATCTGAACTCGCCAATATCTTCATCGATCGACTACTATTCATCACAAACACATTCAACCTCACCACATGATGACAATATAACAAATATGTACAACAACAATACAGGTAGCATCACCAACAACACCAATAATAATCATGATGACGATGATATCACTGACGGTATTGATCGAAATGATATTTGCATAGGTGGAGATGATCGAGGCAGTAGAGACAATAACGGTGACAATAACTCTGGCGGTAATGGACTTCTTGTGGTAAAAAATAAAAAAATTCGTAAACCACGTACAATTTACTCGATATGGCAATTGCAAATGTTGAATCGTCGTTTTGTTCATTCACAGTATTTAAATTTAACTGAACGAGCTAGTCTAGCTTCACAGCTTGGTTTAACGCAAACACAAGTAAGTTAGTTATTTTTAAATTTAAATGGATGGGTGTTATACTACTGAAATATGAATTGATGAGTAGTTTAAGCAAACAATTATGTACGCTTGATTACAAGATACCTTATAAAGTATATTTTTTAAATCTGTGTAGTATTTTTCTTCAGATTCTTCAGATTCTGAAAGGAACATGAGGCACTGATGTTGTTTTCAAGAAGGTATTTCACCAGCCATACGTTCAACCTTCCCTAATTTTTCTTGATTTGCTGTCTCCTAGAAAACGAAGGGAGGTTTAGGAGCGTGTTAGCAGGAGGTCGAATATGGATCACGTGTGTAGTTGACTGACTGGTTTCAATACAGAAATCTGCACAGATGTGCAGCAGTTCCAGTTGCTACTCTCCCTCGATTTACCGCACAAGCTAACAGAAGAGAGTAAGTAGAGAGGGATTCAAAAGAGAGATAATAAACAGAAGTGTAAGTGAGGGGAAAAGAATATTAGTAATATGGAAGAACAATATAGTTTGATTAGATATGAAAAAACACAAAGAGACTGAATGCATCTGCACCAGCCATTAACAATGAGGATATTCAGCCATATCACTAACTGTCTCCAGTCATTGCTATTGGTTCTTACAATCAGGAGGACTTCAACCAAGCAGTCAGGCACCTTCCTACATGGTCGCTGGGTCAAACTAACTGATATGAACTTCATTGACTTAGAGAATCATGTTTTGGGTTGACCTCTACGTGCTAGCTCGTTTCCAAACTGATCCATCCTATGTCAGCTGACATTGCCTATTGTCAAGGAAGGCGATCGATGGTTAGACAGGCATGCACAATACGCTACATGTCCTAACCATCTCAAATGATGCAACTGCTTTACAACTGCATCGATTTGTTTTCCCTCCTTTTCAAATACGTGACCGACGCCTCACCTCAATATTACTCACCCTTTTGTACAACCATCTAACAAGGGATTTAGACAGAACACAGACAGGTGTGATGGAAGACAACAAGCCAACCAGCGTTTTCGCGGCCCTGTCTCACACATATAAAAAAGACAGATGGGAATGTGGTTCAGTGATATACTCACTCAACTGCTTGCCTCAGTCTTGATATCTCAATAGTATTCCTGCTGGACTGAAGAAGTCTTAGAATCACCCACAAAAATTACATGGTGTGGCCGACGATGGGGTAGGGATTAGCAGTCTAATCTGAACTCTTTCACTTGGCGACGTGTATACCGCCTCTGCTGCTTACGTCATATTCGATAACATTAAAACGTGCAGGTGTTCCTCACATCAACAACAGGGCTAATAAAAATGACTAGGTCTTAAAGCCACATCGGCTAACAGAAAGGTCTGCATAACAAAGCTGGAAAACCATGATTCCGAAATTATGGAGTGTATATTAGCTCAAAAATCCAAAAAGGTCAAATAGTGTATGAGTCTGTTTCCGTCAGCAGGGATAAAAAGAACAAACCTCCAAACACTGACAAAATTGTCTGGAAATCAGTCTATTTTCGTATTATTCATGTTTTCCTAGAGAATTGACCTAAACTTAGAGCTTCAGCAGAAAATCTAAAAATTGTCTTATTATTTGAAGTCCTCCCAGCATAAAATCAAAACTGTCCATGGACTTTCATCTCCTCCATGTCACACTCGAAACGCAGCAAAAATCCTTTATCCCCATTCGAGCAACACTAGAGCTATGGCCTGGAGGACGACGTCATTCAAAGGACTCATCAACGTATTTGCGATCCACAATCATTGATCACAACATATCTGTTAATTGCGCAGTAAGATTTCAGGCGGTTTATTCAAGAACTTCATGTTGCTAATCCTTACTGATGATCTTATCTTCAATATAGAGCCAGTGAAGGCGGCTGGCTGTCGAAAATGCATCTCCACGCGCAGTAAAATTTTCGAACAGAATATGGAAGAAGTGACTGAATTAACATTCCTGTTGAGAGTCCAAAAATCTGCTTTAATCTGATACGACATTTTCGTGAGAAAGTTACCAGAAAGGCGGAGCTGAACAAACTGAATTGAAGACAACACAAATGCTGAAGAAGATGAAGAACGAATCGACTATCAGCTCTGAAATATTTGAGCGAATACGACCCTCAAGCTCCGTAATACCCTGGTTATAGGGTCTGCCGAAGGTGCCCAAAGAGAACGGACCACTACGTCCAATCTTGGATATGACAAATTCCTCATATCATGCTACTGCCAAATGGCTCCCAGACATCTTCCTACCTATCAGAAATATTCTCTGTCAGCATAGTGTTTCCGATTCATTTGAAATCGTCGATCCAATAAATGGTGCTAATGTATCCGGGAAGAAAATGATATCCACGGATGTTACGTTACTTTTCACTAATGTTCCTCTCACCGAAACTATTTGCTTTATATGCAAATTCATTGAGGATAATAATGTAGACGTGGGGGTTCTGATCCACTACTTAAAGGAGCTACTATTGAGATGCACTTTTAATGTCCAGTTCAATTTCAACAACACGCTTTATAGACAAAGAGACGGAGTAGCAATGGGGTCAACATTGGATCCTTTACTTGCAGACTGCTTCTTGGCTAGTTTGGAGAAAAATAGTTTACGGCCTACTATCGATAGTTTCCATTTGTACCAAAGATACCTGGATGATACTTTCATTATATATGTGACGACAATACCGACATCGAATTGATAACTAAAGAGTTCAACAGCTGCCACCATGCCATCAAGTTCACATCGGAATCAGGGATGAACTCGGAATTCCATTTTTCGGATGTTCCTCAAATAAGGAGATCTGATGGTTCTCTTCAAAGATCGATCTACAGGAAACCAACATGGAATGGTCAGTACACGAATTTTGATAGTTTGGTCCCTTTGAGAAGAAAGAGAAATCTGATCCACTCCTTATCCTCAAGAATGAGAAGGATATGCATTAGTGATACAATCGACGGGGAAGTGGAGCGACTCGATCAAGTCCGCATGGAAAGTGGATATCCGCCAAGATACATCGAAAAAAACATATAGGAAAATCAAAAGCCCGAAATAACCCAAATGGTACCGAAGAAACTGCTAATTATGAGTGTTGAATTTAACGGTGACACCGCAGCTGATATCCTGAACAACAGCTTGTGCAGATCACTGAAGAAAGCCTTCCTTTCGGCTGAGCTGCGGATCAGATTTTACAGCCGACAAATGATCACTGGATGTGTGAAGGATAAACTGCAGCTTTGGGCCACTTCAATGTGTGCTTATGAATTCACCTTCCGCTGTGAAGCTGGCTGTATTGGCCGCACAAAGCGCACACTTTCCAAACGCATCTGTGAACATTATCCGGCATGGTTAGCGAAATGACAGTGCAAAGCAGTTTCTAGCCAAATTATCGAGCACTTGGTGAACTCAAGCCATGTGTCTCCACCAAAGCCGTCTTTCAAGATCATCTACAAGTTGAGGCTGAATGGTATAAACGGTGTTAGGTTTCGTCATTTGTGTATGGCGGAGTTGTTGGCAATTCATCGATACAATGTCGAACTCTGTATGGAGAAAACGTCTGTCCAGTCTCTTATTCTACCTTGGTCTTAACCTCTTCACTAGTCGTTCCCTGTAAATTTTTACTTCTTGTTTTTTATTTTACTATCACTTTGCTTTTACTTTGACAATTATTTCACTATTATCACTCTGATGTTTTCCTTTTTTACATTTTCTTCTCACCCTCTTCACACTTGTTAAATGGACCCTCAACTACCATCTTTCTTCTCACTGCTCAATAACAATTTTAACCTTATCAAATTTCTGACCCTTTCTTGGTTTGTGCGGTTGAGTACTGCGTAATTTACAACTTTTATTTTTCGTTTTGAAGTCACTTGTGATTGATTATATCAATTATGTCATACTCAAGCCCTACTGCTCAATAGCAGAATATTATACGCTTTTAGTAAATATGAATACGACTGTACAGTCTGTGAAGATGATTTCGCCGATGGGGAAAATTTTATTCTCTGAATTTTCTGTTGTTTTCTTCATGACTCTTGAGGATCTTTTTGTTGTGGATGATTTATGGGTCTTGTCAATCAAACACCATGACATACAGCTTAAATCCGAATATCTGGGAGCAGTAGCGGGTGACGGAAATAGGACTTGAATTGTACATCAGTTATATGGCGGTGATGAAGTTTATTGACGAACAACTACGATAACTGGCACCAATCACAAACAATGGGAGAAATAGGAAAGTAGTCACTTCCTTCACCTATCTGGGAAGCATCGTTTCGACTATAGGTGGAACAGATGAAGAATTCAAATCCATGATTAGGAAGCTTCCACACTCAGCATAAAATCAATATTCGGAATCTCAACAGGAATGTTTTTTCAATCACTTCTTTCCTATTCTGTTCGAAAATTATTTTGCGCGTGAGGAGATGCGTTTTCGACAGCTAGCCGCCTTCACTGTCTCTTTTTTGAAGATTAGATCACCAGGATTAGCAACTTGAAGTTCTTGAACAAACCGCCTAAGAACTTATTGCACAATTAACAATTATGTAGAAGACGGGATATATGTTGGACATACACTGAGTAGACCTTTGAATGGCATCGCCCGCCAGGGTATAGCTCGAATGTTACCCGAATGGGGAAAAACCAGTTGAGCATTGGTCCGATTGTGACATGGAGGAGATCTAGTGACTAGGAAGGGAAATTGAATGTGTATTCTTGTTACTAGACAAGGTTGCACATACAAAGAATAGGAAAAAGTGGAGATGTCCTGCTGAAGCTCTCACTTTTGATCGAATCCAATCGGAAGAGAAATAATACGAAAACTAACTGTTTGCGACACTATTTGTCAGTGTGAAGAGGTGTGCTGTTGTGGTCCTCAGTGACGAAATGCGACTCCTACGCCATTCTGCTGTTTGTGTTTCTGGAACTGATGTATTCCATAAGTTTGGATTCACAGTTTTCCAGCTCCTCTGGTTAAACCTTTGGGTGATCCAATCCATTTTTTATTGCCAACCCTG